GAATATAATTTTCTATGCTGGTTCTCTGAAAAAGTAGGGCCCTAATAGTTGGACTTATTTCTGTACAGACATTTTGGGGGATGCTAGCATAATGTGGCCCCGTTATATTGCTTCCCAGTGATCTCAGTTCATACTGAACCCAGAGTTTATAAAATTCAGAGAACATACAAAACTAGGATGCCTGTCTGGATCTCCCTCTCTCAAATCCCTTGCACATAGCACACATCTTCGAATGTGCTAAAGGCATCCTTCCACAGCTGTGGTCTCTGACAAGTTCTGAAATGCTCACTGGATATGTCATCAAGGCAACTGTGTCCCTGGGCTAGAGGAAGTATTTGAGTGTGAGGTGGTGCTTATATTTGGAGACGGACTTGATTGTATCTGGGTGTTTGTAATTTCTGATGAGTTCCCTCAATTTATAGCCTACTTAAATATAATGTTTAGAATGAAATTTATTTTGGGGGGCATAAAGTTCTACAGTTTAGTGTTGTCAGAATTTTCTTGATTATTTTTGAAAAATAATGAAAAACAAAAAACTTAGGAAACCAACCGAAAGAGGCTATAAATTCCCATAAGACCACCTTCCACGAAGTCAACCATACCCTAGTGGCACCACTGTTGACAGTGTGGAGGCTAACATTCAAGTCCTCTTTTTTCCCCACTTCTGCTCCTCAGTTCTACTCCCTTGAGATCAACACTGCTGACCAACTGGGAGGCTAAGAATCTGTAACACATGTGATTATTTGTAAAGAGAGCCTCAGCTCCATCACTGAGTGCAGAAACATGCTTATAGGCTCCTTGTACAGCACAGCCCTGGGAGGACAATTGTAGAAACTATACAACTCAGACCCAGGTCCACAGCAGAATCACTAGAACCAGAGGTGAGCTAAACCGTCTGGTGGAATGACTAATGCCCAGCATTTAGGAGCTTTCACATGGTTGGTTCAAGGGGCCAGAAGTAGCAGAGTCTTGTGACCTGCAGTGAGCTCCTCCTCAGTTGTGCTCAGGCCTTGGTTTCAGGACCCAGCTGGGTTAGTCTTTGTCATTCTTGCTCATGTCTTCTCTTAGCTCTATCCTTAGCTGTTACCACAGACCCATTTCTAGGCAGAAGCCTAAATTAAGCCCCACTCTCAGCACCAAGCTTTGCCCCTTTGTCCTTTCAGCTCCACTCAGTCATGTTGTTTCCATGGGGGTAGGGACAGGGCTACAAAAACCCAGAACTGTGAAGGGAGAAATTTGCTGGTTCAAGGTTTGCCCACCCACTTGCTATTTGTGACCAGCTACCTCAAGAAAACCTGGGACATGGATAGAGAAGCCAGGCATTTTCTTTGTTTTAGCGACTGTTTCAGGAATCATCAAGGATGTGATCAACAGTAGATAATTTAGATTTTTCAGGTGAACTCAGGTGAAGGTGCTCTTTCTCCTGAAATGCCTTAGTTCTTTGGGATGGTTGAGGAGTTTTAAGTTTGCCATGGTTACTCATAAATTAGCACTTGACACATGTACAAAGATCTGTTATTGTTGCATCTGGGTTGTAAGATTGTCTTTAATTTAAAAAAATTTTAAAATAACTACAGATTTATGAGAAGTTGCAAAAATAATACATAGAGTCCCCATGCATCCTTTATTTAATTTCCCCCAATGGTTGTATCTTATGAAACTGTAGTACAATTTCAAAACTGAGAAGTTAACATTGCTACAACATGTATGCAGGTTTTTTGTCATTTTATCATATTTGTAGGTTTGTGTAACCACCACCACCAACAATATACACGATCATTTTTATCACCACAAAGATATCTCTTGTGCTACTACTTTGTGGTCATACCTACCGCCTACCGTCCCTCATTAACCTTAAAGCCTGGCAACCACTGATTTGTTTTACATTTCTATCATTTTGTCATTTAGAAAGTATTCTCTAGATGGAATCATAGAGTATGTGACCTTTCGAGACTGGCCTTTTTTACTTAGAATGATGCCATTGAGATCCATCCAAGTTGTTATATGTATCAATAGTGTGTCCCTTTTTATTGCGGAGCAGTATTCCATGGTATGGACATATTGGAGTTTGTTTAACATTTGCCTATTCAGGGAAATTAGGCTGTTTCTAGTTTGAAGCCATTACAAATAAAGACTACACCCATCCCTCAATTTATGCAGATAATTCATTCCACATGTCTTTTTTTTTTTATGCAGTAGAAAACCATGTAAAAAGAGTCCACCAGTACAAAAAAAATTCTAAAGTAATAGGTCAACATAAGCCAAAAACATTTATTTCAAATATTTTCACAAAATATCGCTAATGAAAATTCAGAAAAAACAAAATAAATTTTATTAGCTGTCAGTGTTTGTGCCATAATCCAAAGCAATCAACCTCTTCTTTTTAATTGGCACAAAGTCGTTATTTTTAACACTTGAAATATTTGGAAGTACGTATCTTTAATTGAATTATGATGCAACTAGTGTGTCATGTCAATTCCTACAGCTATCTATCAGTGATTTAACATTTTGTTAATTAGTTTCAACTGTTACTGATCTTGGTGCAACAATCAATTTTCAAATGTTCCAGTGATAATTGTGTGTTAGTATCAGTTCTTTGTATGTTACTGAGTTAAGCTATTGTTTTTAAAAAGAATAATTGCCAATAATGCAAATGAAAAAGAAAGAACCACGTAGAATGAGACTGTGTAAAAGAAAACCATGTATAAAAAGTCCACTAAATGGGGAGAGGGGGTAAAGGGTGGAGGAGATATTTACCGCGTATAAGACAAACTCATGTGAAAAACTTGAGGGATGGGTATATTTACATTTAATGTAATTGTTCAAATGTAAGGACAGAAGTCTGCCATTTTATTTTTTCTTATTTTTCTCCCTGTTGTTCATTTCTCTAATTTCTTTTTCCTTCCTAACTGTACATTACTGAAAGATTTGTTTAAATTCTACTTTGATTTGCCTATAGTATTTTTGAGTATATTTCTTTATATGAATTTTTTGTATATATTTTATTCGCTCAAGGTATTGCATTATACATACCTTCCCACAGGAGGCTGGTATTGAGTGACTGTAAGATTTTAAGTCTTAAAGTCTCCTTTTAAATTTTTAATTGTCTGTAATTTATATCTCTTATTTTCTTAAATATTTTATTTATATACGTTTAAAAAAAAAACCACATATTTCCCGAAGTCATTTTCACACAGAGATTATTTACAGCTAAGAGAAGCAAATTGAGTTTAAGAAGCAAGTCAGCGGCTTAGCCAGCACCAGAGATCCTGGCTTCCAGAATGTTCCCCTTGCCACTCTGTTTCTTCTCCTGAGGGCTTTTCTTCTTTAGAATTGTTTCTTCTTGTTAGCTGTTTAGTCTTCAAATTTTTGCCATAAGCTACTCTTAGGGAGATGTTGAGCGTATCCTGGGGATAGAGACAGGAGAAACCGAGGCAATTACTCCAGGTCATAGAGGCAAAACACAGGGGTCACATGGGGGTCACCAGGTTATGCCAGACTTTCAGAGAGGGTGGTGACTGGGTTAGAAAAGGGTTTTCATTCTATTTGAGGAAAGAGGAACTCCATAGTTTGTAATGTGGAAAAGAAATAAGCTAGTCCCACTGAACTCACAGGTATCTCTCAGTGCTTTTCTATTGACTACTATAAAACTTGCAACGAATAGAGAAAAGTATTAAAAAAATTTTTTAAAGCTTTCCTAAAGGTATCTTCCTGATCCTTTTCTTTTGGGTAGCTTGAAAGTGTGAGTCGAGTGGTATAGAGAAGGTTCTCTGCTATTTGAAGATTGCCTTTACCACTGTTATTTATACTAGAAGATCTAGTATGAATAGGGACACTATCCAAAGTTGTATTTCAGCTTTGAGATGCATCAAGCTCCAGTTCTTAGAGAAACTGACTTCATTTGAGTATTCACTCTGTGTTCTATACGCTTTAGATGCACAGTGACCCTTGGAGTTGGGGCTCTGTTATTCCCACTTTACAGATGAGGGAACCAAAGCTAAGTAAGGTGCCCAGGGAGATGGCAAGTAAGAAGAATAGCTGCCCTGAACCTAGATCTGGCCAACTACAGAGTCTTTGACTTTCTTTCTGCCAGGCCAGCCTGCATACCACATGTCCCTGGTCTCCTAACATCATGTTCAGACAATGACATTCTGTCCTGTCTTCTTTCAATGGGTCTTCCCAACAGGTTGCACAAGGCAAACCAAACTTTCTGCCATTGGACACAGTCCCCACACCTAGCATAGTGCCTAGGAAGGTATTTTTAAAAATGTATTGACTGCATCTAACCATACCTGAAACTGTTCTTTAATTGCTCTTGCAAGAGTCTGGAAAAGCATTGGTCATAATAAGATGGGAGTATAACCTCATTCATTCACAGCCAGTCAAGGGCTTGAAGATTGAGTCTAGAGAAAGCTCTTAGAGAAAATTATGCAAGCACAGATAAGAGAAAAAGATAGTACTGCTCTGAGTTGAAGATGTTACTTGCCAATACTTAATGATAAAATCTGCTTATTTCTGTGGACCAGTTTTGTCCCCTTCCCAAGAATAAATGTCTATCTGCCTTCCTAGCTACCCATGTCTGAGCTTCCTGTACTTTGACGCATTTCCGCAGAACAAGATCCACATGTGGGAGTTGGATATTAGTCCTGAAATGCATGATAATGAGACTAAGAGTGTGCGAGTAAGAGTAAGAGTGCCATGGGCTGTAGGCAGGAGAGTTCTGGAGCAGAAGTGAGATGGATGGCCCTTTCCTGGCTCATCGTGACTGTTTGTATAAGTGTGAGCATGCAGAGAAGAGAGAAATGTGTGGAATGGCAAAGAACTAAATTCCTTTCAATCAACAAAATCATAAGCCAAGAAGATAGGGAAATGTATTTTTTGGGCTTGGCTGAAAGAACTGTAGCAGTGATGGGATAATCTCTCAATTTGCTGTGGATGCAGCCCATTGTCATCTTCCCTCCTCCCCTTTACTCTTTCTGCCTCAGGGTCGAGATCCCAGGTCACCTCCAATCTTCCTGGGACTCCTTGGCCATGGAGTTGGGTGAGACCAAGTTGGAAAAGATGGCCTTTCTCGGTGTTGTCATGGCCATATTCTTGATTCTGTTCAGTTTTTCCCGAGCCTGTTGACATTTTCTCAGGCAAGGCCCACAGAGATCCTTCTCCTCCACCAGATGTAAGTTGTCCAGTCTCTTGATAGAATCTATGAACGTATCCGACTCTTCCCCCTTAGGAAAGGGGTTTCGTTGTGTGTTGAGCTTTTTCAACTTGGGGAGCTTAAAAATGCTAGTGGGAATGGTGGTGAGCAAGTTGTCATGGAGTCCCACCTCATGGAGCTCCTTCAGTGCACCCAGTGTGGTGGGCACGCTGTCTAGATGGTTCAAGCCTAAATTCACCGTGCGGATATTCTTGAGTTGGTTGAGCTCAACAGGTAGCCCGTTGGTGGTCAGCCTGTTGTTACTGACATTGAGGTAGAGCAGACTGGTCATCTGGCCAATGGACTCTGGGAGCTTGTCGATGTAGTTGCTGTGCAGGTCCAGCCACCTCAGGTTCTGGAACTTGGAGATTGAATCGGGAATCTTCTTGATCATATTCCGGCTAAGATCGAGCTCATCTATATCATTGAGTCTCAGAATACACTTGGGGAAGTTGGTAATTCCCATTTTGCTCAAGTCAAGGCGTTTTCTCCCATCAAATGTGATTTTGATACAATTCTTGGCCACACTGAGGGTGATCTTCTTGCCCTTGGGGCCTTTCCCGCTCTTGGCCATGTTCTTTAGTGAGGGAATATGTTTGAAATATGTTGTTCTGATTAGTTGGTGATCAGTTTGAGGAAAAGTCCCATGAAATTGCTAGAAGATATACTCTGATAAGAGGAGAAAAAAATATCAAGTTAGGAAATGACATGAGGTTACTAGACTCTCCCCACATCATAAATGCTTTGTTCTCTAATAGTTTTAAAGGAAAGCAGAAAGGGGAGAGAAATTAGAGCATCAGCAAAAATAGCGTTGCCGAAGACCTTCAGCAATTTGAATACCCTCCTCAGACCTCAGTGTTTCTAGATGTGAAATGGGAGGTGCAGGGTTGGCCTGAAGGCTTCTTAATGCCCCTCTGGCTATGCCATCCCTGATTTATGAATCTCTCCATTGTCCTGGACTTTCACATAATCCCCTTTCCCCCTACCCAGGGGTACATGTGTGTATGTGTATGAGTGTTTTCTTGGATATCTGCCACTTCTCAGACCTTCACACAAATCTAGTCTTTTTTTAACATTTCCCCATGGGTTCCTATGGTGGGACTGCTGAGTTCTCAGAAGGAACATAGCCAGGATATGAGGGAATAATGTGGTAGTTAAGAATGACTTAGCTGCCTACAGTTTCTGTACTCCTATCTCTCTCCACTTCTGAATCCAGAGGAGCTAGTCAAGCTTTCACTACTATAACTGCAGTGCAACTAGAGCAGCACAGAAAAGTCTTTCACGCAGCCCCAAGTAAGAGGATGCCCATGAGCATGGAGGAGGCCAAGGCTGAACTTAAGTGCTTGGCAGAACTTAAAAGAGAATGTTGCCTTTTTTCATCTCCTGCCCCTTGCAATTTCTCCCCTCACATCCTTTACACTGAAATTCAACTATAGACACCTGTGCACTGATAGATGTGATAATAGTTGTGATTGCTGCCATACGGAGAAGTAGAATATAAAAAGTGATGGGTAGATTCTGGCCTCAGGTGCTTGGCTTAGAAGTCTTGCTCTGCCACAACAATTTTCTTAAATTTTCAGCATCTCAGTTTCCTCATTTGTGAAAAACAGCTCTTTTATATGGCTTTTAAGGAGTGTAAATTACCTAACTATAAAGCACTCACAATAGTGCCTGGCACATAGTAAAAGCTTGATTAATGTTAGCTATAAAATATTATCAGGAACTTTGAACATTTTGATTTTAATCGTCAACAATACAGCAGGATCTGTAGGATTATCCCCATTGTAAAGAGAGGAAGACTGAGGCTCATGTGTGAGAAAGGTCTACAACTAGGAAGAAGATACAAACTACTATCATGTTATAGAAGCTCTTTTCTTTTCTAAACTTGGTGCCTCATGCTATCTGATTTTCTCTTTTGGACCAAGTTTCCAGACAAGACGGTAGCATGCTATCAGGAGACAAATGCTTTCAATGCCTCCATTTTCCCACAGGGACGGGCAGCAGAGGTGCCTACAGTTGCTGTTCTTCATTATTCAAGCCCTTTATCAGAAACAAAGTTTATATAACACACAAAGCTCCAGCAATCAGGCTGTTTTCTTCATACAATAATCACATGTTTTCCTCATACAATAATCCTCAGTGTCAAAAAGAAGTATTTAAAAGTTGCCTTCCATGTTCTTAGTATAAAACGCCTGCCACTCCTAGCAGAGGTTCCCACCCTATGACGGTCCTGCTGGATCAGATCCTCCTGGGATGGATGGAAATCGCCAGAGTAAACCAATGAGAGTATCTCAGCTTTTAGCAGCATTGATGTTCTTTTGAACTTGTAAGCTGAACCAATTCTTTAAAAACAATGGACCAACCACATTCAGGCATAATTGGCTGGTTACCAAAGATGGTACTGTGTTCACTAGTATTGCAGTTATTATATCATGTAGCTCTGAAGAACCAGATGGGATAAAGCAGCTTAAAAATCAAAGCTGGGGTTCTAGTTACAGTTACTATGAAGTACACTCTGTCCATCTCATCCATTGAATGCAACTCAAGACCTTAGACAGACTGCATTGAGCGGCTCTCTGAGGATGCTGAAGTTAAATAGTGTCATATAGGTTGTAGAAGTAACTTGAAAGTAAGACCAACTTTACATGGGGAGAGAGGAGGACAAAAAGATTTCTAAGAAAAGTCTCTCTCTCTGACCAAAAATATGAAAGAGGGCCCTTTAGAGTCAGGGAGGGTGAAGGAGATCTACTGTTTTTTTCCCTTTTGGTTTTTCATTCACTCCTGCCTCAGCCCCAGAGAGTCCTGTATCACTGGAGTCATCCAGGCAGGCACCCAAAACTATGGGGGAAGAGAATTATAGTCTCTGCTCAAACTGTTGTCCCAAGAGCAAGGAGGTTGCTTTTTTCTCTCTATCCTTCTGTCATATGGCCCTGGAGCCAGAAACAGTCACAGGAACTAAATATTCGATTTAGAAAACAAAATTCTATCCAGAAGACTGAGTGTGTGTGTGTGTTGTGGGGTTTGTGTGTGTGTGTGTGTGTGTGTGTGTGTGTGTGTGTTCAGGGAAGGGAGTGTGTTCTGAGAACCACAAAGTGCTGGGACGATTGCAAAGAGGAGGGAGTTTAATAAAGACGTATATGAACTCCTGGATGTACCATGAGAAGCCTTTGCATGGATAAAACCCTGAACAGGGTCTTCAGTACCTAATCCCAAATCCAGAACCCAAAGATTTTGAGAACTGAGCTAAGAGATAAATTCAAAGCACACTCAGAGACATAATCAAACTGCTCAAAATTAAATTAAAATAAAACCTGCCAGAGAAAACGGACACACAACCTACTAGAAAAATATCTTTTAAAGGACTGAAAGCAAACAAACTGTCAACCAGACAGTGAATAAAGGTGTCCTTTATGAATAAAGGCAAAATAAAGACATTATCAGATGAATGGAAAATGAAAAGATTTGCCACTAGCTGAGCTGCTGTGAAAGAAATGCTAAAGGAGATTCTTCAGATGAAAAGGAACCAATACTATAGAGAAAATTGGGCTTTGAGACTAAAGGAAGAGCAATGGAAATGGTAGATTTCTGGTACATATAATAGGCTATTTTCCTCCTCTTAAGGTTTAAAATATTTGTGATGGTTGAAAGCAAAAATTGTAACACTGTCTAATAGGGTTTTCAATGTATGTAGATGGGATAGATACGACAACTACAACATCATGGGGGAAGCTAACAAGACCTATATGATAAGTAAGGTTTTTACATTGCTTTCAAAGTGGTAAAATATTAATTTTAAGTAGACTATGGAAAGTTAAGTATATACATTTAAATCTCCAGAGTAACCACTAAAGCAATATACAAAGACATAGAAAAAATAAATGTATAGATTTAAAAATATGTTTTTATATATAATGATAAAAATATAATCATATATATAAATAGTACATATCTATATAATTATAATTATATATACATAAATATAATTTCTATTTGAAATATCTAAGTTAAAAATTAACAGTAGAAAAAATTCAAATAATCTAAAAGAAAGCAGTAATGGTAAATGGAAGAAACAGAATACAAGTATTAAAATGGCAGAGCTAAATTTAAATATATCAATACTGATATTAAGTGAAAGTGATCAAATACATCAATTAAAAGCATAATTATCAGAATGGATAATAAAAGAGAAAGAGTCAATTACATGCCATCTAATAAATAAACAAAAGTAAGTTAAACTAAAAGAATGGGGAAAGACATGCTATGCAAATACTAAAGAAAAACTGGAGTGACTTTATTAATATCAGTATAGACAAAGTATATTTCAGAAAATGAAAATTTACCTGAGATTAAGAAGACTACTATGTAATAAAAGGTACATTTTACCAAGAAGATATAAAAATCCTAAATGTATACATACTTAACAACAGAGCTTTGATATAAATGAAGCAAAAACTGATAAAACAAAGAAGAAATGAAAAAATCTATAGAATTAGAGATGTCAACACTTGTCAATAATTAATGATACAACTAGAAAGAAAATCAGCAAAGAACAGTGTTGCTCAGTCTCAGCTCCACTGACATTTGTGGCCAGATAACATTTTGTTGTTGGCAGTGGTGGAGTGCTGATGGGGGTCGGGGGTGGAGGCCTGTCCTGTGCATTGAAGGATGTTTAGTAGCAGAAGATTCTATCTACTAAACACCAATAGCTCTGTCCTAATATCTCTAAATATTGCCAGCTGTCCACAGAGGTCAAAATTGCCTCCAGAGGAGAACCACAGATATAGAAAGACTGAACATTACTGTAAACACAGTGGATCTAATTGACATTTATAAAACACTCTACACAGAAACAGAATACACATTTTTCTCAAGCGCACATACAACATTCACGGATATAGACTATATTCTTAGCCATGAAACAAACTTTAACAAATATATCCTTAACAAAGAATGTTCTCCAAAAATAATGGGATTAAATTAGAGATCAGTATCAAAACTATAATTGGAAAATCTCCAAATAGTTAACAATGAAAAAAAAAACACAACACACATATTTACACATAAACCATGAATCAAAAAAATCTCATGGAAAATTAGAAAATATTTTGAACCGAACAAAAAAGAAATAACATATCGAAACTTATGGTTTGCAACTGAAGTAGTATTTAGAGGGAAATTTGTAGCTTTAAGTGTTCACACTGGAAACATTTTAAAAAGTAAGACAGGTCTCAAATCTATAATATAAACCTCTACTTTAAGAAACTAGTAAAAAGGAGCAAAATAAACCTAAAGCATACACAGAGAGGAAATAATAAAGACAAGAGCAGAAATCAACAAAATTGAAAGGAGAAAGATTATAGAGAAAATCAGTGAAACTAAAACGGTTTTCTTTTTTTTAGGGGAGGCAACCCTCACAGATTGCAAGGACCTTGTCAGCTTACAGTCTTTTATTTTATTACTATTATTAATTTTTTTACCACTACAGCACCGGGTGTTCCTAGGTGGTCTCCCATTCAAGTACTAACCAGACCTGACCCTGCTTAGCTTCCAAGATCAAATGGGATCTGGCATGTT